TGAGAGCCCTGAGAGGTCAAATACGACGCGAAGCCTCGTCTCGAGTTTTTCGTGAGACGCCCGACGTCGGGGCCGGGAGCTCCCCTCCGAGGTCGGGGGCGCGCAAACACGGATGAGCGATCCATGGCTGTGGCGCGCAGTCGCCAGGTCCATGGATCCGGGGAGGTGCCCTCCCCAGATAAAAAAACATAAAACAAAAAATACGAAAGGAAAAAATCACAGTCAATAACAAAAAAAATACCGAAAAAGAAAAAAAAAAAAAGAAAAAAAAACAAAAAAATCAAATTAATAAAAAAATTCAAATAAAAAAAAGAAAACAAATGAAAAAAAAAACAAAATAACCAAAAAAAAAAAAAGAAAAAAAAAAAAGAATAAAAAGAAAAAAAAAAAATGACAAAAAAAAAAAAAAGAAATAAACGAACTATAAAAAAAAAAAAAAAATAACATACAACAAAAGAAAAGTCCATGTGTTCGGCCGTGCCGCTCGGTTCGGTGCGCTGCAGAAAAAAAAAGTAAACTATAAAAAAAAAAAAAAAAAAAAATAAAACAAAAAGACACTCGGCTGCTGCGACATCCCGCGACACCCGCGGGCGGAACCCTTCGCTAATCCACGCCCCCCTTGATCCATGTAACGAATCTGCCTGATGTCCACCAAACAGCAAATTACAACAAAAAGGTTTCCTCGCCTCCTACACCTACTCCTCCTCCTCCTCCTCCTCCTCTCCTCTCCACCTCCCTCCCTCCTCCTCCTCATCCTCTCACTCCTTCTCCGCCGCCCGCCGCCGCCGCCGCGCCGCAACTGCCTCCTCCTCCTCTCCTCGCTCCTCCTCCTCCTCCTCCTCCCTCCTCCTCCTTACCTCTTACCACCTCCTCGCTCCTCCTCCTCCTCCTCCTCCTCCTCCTCCTCCTCCTCCTCCTCCCCCTCCTCCCCCTCCTCCTTGATCCATGTCTGCGATCGCCTGAGGAAGGCCTCGTGAGCAGGCCCGACCCTCTCAGCTGCCCCCCGGCGCGCCGCCGACCCTCTGGGTCGGCCCACTGCCCGGGGTCCAGTTTTTTTCCGTCCCAGGATGTTCCTTGACGGCCCCCGGGGGGGCCTGGCGAGGGCCCCCAGGATAGGAAGGCACCAACTATACACCAACACCAATCCTTGCCAGGATCACCCTGGGCCCAGGATCTTTGTAGGAGCCTGCCTTGGACAGGATGCATATACACCGATCCTGGGCCTAGGATCGGCCTGGCCAGGATCCGTGTAGGTGTATAGTTGGTGCCCTCCGACAAGACTCCGAGAGCCACGCACCGGCCGCCGCCGTGATCTTCAAGTGCGTTGAAGGTCGGGGGGCGCAAAGCCTGGAGCACAACGCCGATGTGGACGACAATGGACTCGGCCCCAGGACCCCGAGAACGACGAACGGCCGCCGTCGTGGTCTTCAAATGCGTTGGAGGACGGGGGGCGCAAAGCCTGGAGCACAACGCCGATGTTGACGACGATGGACTCGGCCCCAGGGCCCCGAGAACGACGAACGGCCGCCGTCGTGGGGGAGCACAGGGAGATGGGGGGCCAGAACCTTCTGTCACGACACTGCCCGCAGCTCGAAGCTCAAAGGGGGCGGAGGAGGAGAAGGAGGAGGAGGAGGAGGAGGAAAAGGAGGAGGAGGAGGAGTGAGGAGGAGGAGGAGGAGGAGAAGTGAGGAGGAGGAGGAGGATGAGGAGGAGGAGGAGAAGTGAGGAGGAGGAGGAGGAGGGGGGGGGGTAATGGGGGGGGGGTGGGGAAAGGAATGGAGGGGGAGGAGGAGGAGGAGGAGAAGTGAGGAGGAGCTCGGCAACGGCTAGAAAGGTGCCACCACATTAATCATGCATCAAACAAACTCCAAACGAGTTAGGGAGGGTCCAAGTCCTCCTCGGGCGGCACAACCTGCCGTCGGCGCTCTTGCGCTCGAGCGCCGAGCGATTCAGCCTCTACCCGAGAGCTGAACCCGTAAAGTGAAAGGCCTCGCTGAAGGCCGACCCCAGTCCCAGCCCAAACCCTCCCAATCCCGCCCGACGAAGAAGCCAGAGAGCCACTGGACCGAGGTGGCGCGAGCAACGGGAGGTCGCCCAGACCCATCTTGGCGGCGAGGTAGTCTCGAGCTGGGTCCGATAACACGGTCGCTCGCGAGACCCGAAAATCTTACTACGAAGGATGGCGGCCCTGCAAAATCCAAGCCAACTGCCTCTCACGACCCTGGGAACGATGGCCCAGACAATCCGACGCGAGAGCAGTCTTGCCACCGTGCCCTCCGACGGTGCAGACTGAACCGCAACGGGTGCAGAAGGCCAGGGAGCCAGCGGCCGCCCCAGCGGGGTCAGTGACCCCACACTCTATGATGTCGTGGGCGCGGGCCGGCCAGACATGGAGGTCGGGCCACTCAGCCCTGCCCTCCTCACCGTCGTCGCCCACCCCACCCGACTCCCGACCCGTCCCGCCACTCCCAATAGGAGGCCGCCGTACGGAGCCACAATCAAAACGGCCAGGAGGAGAAGGCACGGAAGGAGAAGGAGGATCATCAGGGAGAGGAGGGACCTCAAGGGTGATGTGCCTCAGCCAATCGATGCCGACATGGTCGAACTGCCCACTGTCCCCGATCCGAGCTTCTTGCTCAGCTGAGAACTTGCACAACAGCCGGGACAACTCAAAGCAACCATCGACGACGGCACGATCAGCGGCAGAGATTCGACCCAATGAGGCGCCTCGCTTGGCAGATTCATCGGCAGCCTTATTGCCGAGATACTCGAGACGGCTGAGCTTACCGTTCTCGACATCACGAAGGGTGCAATGGGCAGGAACTTTACGCCACCGCACTCCGTCGAGCTTATCAAACACATGCTGCCACATATGCGCCCGAGCATTATCGGGACAAACAGCTCCCGCGGGGTCCGAAACATACCCGAGAGTTCCGGCACAGTCCCCATACAAGTTGGCCCCAGGGAACACAGTAGCATGGCGAACGAGAGAGACCACTGCATAGTCCTCACCGTCACGGGCGACCTGGGCTGGAGCTTCACACACGGGCACGCGCCCCCAAATCGCACGAGAAACTTTCCCCACCCGTCCGTAACGATCACCGCCCATCCCGCCGATCGAATCCTAGGGAGGGCAGGCTCGAAACACGAGCCGTCCAAGAACACATGGGCCCATTCCCCGAGCACCAGCCCGTCGGCAGGCCAATTGTGCCTATAGACCGTGGCCTCAGGGGGTTCGGAGGGGCGCGAGAACCAGCAAGCGGGGTCTGGGAGCACACACCTGGCGAACAACTCCTGGGCCCTGGACGAAAGAAGGCGCACTCTACCAGCTGCCCGGCGCAGGTCGGGGCTCAAAACATCCCGTCGCCACGCATCGTGGGCGGGGCAATCAAATCGACGATGAAACATGGTACCTGATGGGGCCTGGCAGGCCAGGCAGGCAGGGGGTATGTCCTGACAGGCGTCATGAAACCGCCGCTGGCACCAATACCTGTTGGTAACAAGGCTGCGCAAGCAGTGACGACAATGATCAGACCAAGCTGAGCCTTGCTTCGAGATCAGATCCAGAGCCGGCTTGAGACAGATGGGGCCGCGCCATTCGGTTCCAAAATCACTCTGCCTAGCCTGCTCTTCCATTGCAATCGCTTCCTCACACGCCTCGCGCACGCGAAGGGCGAAGAAGGCCGGGGAAAACGCAGACAAACTCCAGGAGCGACCCGCCTGGTCAATCAGGACCTCGCTTGGGACATCCAACCTCCAACCAATCCGAGCAAGCGTTAACACAAGAGCGGCAAGAGGTTGCTTGGCGGAGCCCCAGGGTTTAGGTTTCCTCGCAGACACGAGTGCATCGTCAAACGCAGAGAGGAGGACCTGCTTCGTGACACTGCGGTGCCACCAGAAAGAAACAAATGACTTGACGGCGCCCACCGTCGTCGAAACAAGAGGATCCCGCTGGGGGGCCCCGCAAAGAAGGAAGGTGAGGCCGAGGGAGGATCCAGGCTGGAGGGGGCCAAAAGACCTGGCAGAGGCCACCCTCAGAGTCCTCAGAGCCGAATTCCCAAGACCATTAATGTGCGCCCCCCACGTGGCCTTAGCGACTGGGCCCGCTCTGTGCACCCGAGAAGCCTCCCTCCCCCGCCCAATCTTCGAGAGCCGAATCGCAGCGGCCGACGATTCGAGGAGGCGCTTGTTTTGTACAGGCACGCGGCGAGCCTTGCCGTCAGAAGCGTCGCCACCCAGGTCACGGTGGGTGGTGGCCAGGAAGGACTCGTCGAACGGCCAGTCGGGGTCGTCCAGCAGAGCCTCGAGCAACTCAGGGCTCGAACACAGGAAGCAGGTCTTGTCCAAGTTGAGCGGAAGGTCGAGCTCATTCATCTGAGTGGCTACAATCGTGGCTGCTTTGACCAATTGCCGAGCCACAATGCGGAGAGAACCCACAGCATGCACCTTCAAGTCGTCCACCAAGTTCAGCGGCCAGCAAACAGGCGTCTCAATGGCAATAGTCCGTAAAACGCACAAGGTCATGAGCTTCACGGTGCCAGTCGCGCAGCTGCAACCCGCGATCACCGTGCCGTTGGGGACAACCAGGCGCGAGGTCGCGCCAAGCCAGCGGGCCCGCCTGGGTCACGGTAGACCGCGCACAGGCATCGCAGCAGCTGCTCGTCAAAGCCGTAGTGCCTGCCAGCCTCGCGCATGGCGCCGTGGGAGATGTTCTCGTAAAACTTCCGCACGACGTAGTACAGAGTGCCGCTGACGAAGCCGTGGCGCTTAGCATGCACCACCAGCAGGTTGTGGATGCAAGCAGCTCTGTCGGCCGCCGCATCGCCGGACTTGCCCCAAAAGAAGCTGGCATCCACGCTGTGTTCCCAAGCGCGAACTCGTTGCTGTCGTACCCTGGACCATGCGCGGGGCCATAGGCCCAGGAGCCCTATCGGCCGACGGCCGACGTCAGGAGGAGGCTTGGGAATGAAAACGAACATCGTCGTCCAAAGCTCGGGGACTTTGGCAGTGAGCTCAAACCGGTTTAAGATGGCCGCAAATCGAGCAACCAAGGCGTCCGAGAGCTCCCCAAGCAGCCGCGGATGAAAGGAGTCCCAGCCCAGGCCTTTCCTCCTGCCGAAGAAGAGGATGGCCGAGCGCACCTGCGAGACACTGATGGGCTCAAGGGTTGTCGCCACATTCCACTCGGAGGCGTGCTGCTCATCATTCCTCGAGTCCTTGATCCAAAGCGGAAGCCACTCCTGCAAAACACCATCAACCGCCAGCGAGCCCACCTGCGGCAGGGAATCAACGTCGCCAGGCAGGGATACAGGGAGAGGCTCGACAACCTTCGGCTTAATAATCTTGTGCGCAATCCTCCCGGGGCCGTCGA